TTTTACGCTAATCTTATCTAATAAATAATTCACAAAGAAAATTTGATAGGTAAATAAATAAATATAAATATTTTTATAAATTTTACTTTGCATGAGGCTACTACCATGAGAAATAAAAAAATCCAAAAATCCAAGAAAAGCACAAATTGGTAAACCTTAAAAGTTATAACTATATATAAATTTAAGTATTTTATTAATTTGGTTAAAATATAAGTTGATATTTGATTTATCTCGAAATAAATCTTGAACCTATTAAGCATAATGATTTCGTACTTGTTATAAAGAATATTTTTCATCTTGTTTAATAAAAAGTTCATAAAAAATAAAAACTATAAGCATATTTTCTACTATTAAATGAATTTTTCTTAAAAAATCGCATTACATTTGATAGAATGAATGCAATAAATACAAGTTCACCACCCTATTTCTAATAAATCTATCCAAACAAGATTTCAAATTTCAAATTTCCCACGTTATCGCTGGCATCAGCGCGATATCGATATATTCACTCGCAATCATATGTTTATTCCGAAATATCAATATCGCGTATATACGAATGTTTCTGTTGTACTTGTCTGTCAAATGGTTTGGTAATGTAATATATTATATTGAACAAAGTTATTTATAAATTGTTAAACTTATATAAATCTATGAAACTTTCATTAAAAGATAATGCAACTTTTTTGTAAATGCCTCAACGTCGCTATAGAGGTAGACGATGATGGTATTCAGAATATTGGAAAAGCAGATTTGGGGTTATCTCCAGAAGATATTTCAGAGCCCATTTTTCAAGAGGTATGTAAATAATAAATAACTTCTAAAATTATTGTACATGTACATTTATAAATATCACAAACGAAGGAATTTGGATTATCATTATAGTATATATTTTTATTTTATATATACATAAACATGTTCTATTATTGATATACAAAATATTTGTGTATGTATTGCACAATGATAAACATTTACTAGCTATACCAAGGTGACAAAAACAATGAGCGCATTAATTAGTCAAATAATTATAGATATTTGGTAGATTAATATATTTGAATTGAATAAAAATATTTTTGAATCATTCTTCTTAGCAACAAAGTCTATTAATAACTTTTAAAAGTATTTGGATTTTATGAATTTTCAAATTGTATTTTGATAGCTATAAATGTAGCTGATACAATTTTAATTTTATTTTTTATGAATTTTTTGATACAAAATAAAATGCATTTCTAAAGTCCATATTGGTTTATTTTTGGTTCTAACTCGTGTTTAAATATATATGTATTTAAATATGTATGCCCTTGCAAAACAGTTAACTGTTTTATTTGCATTCGATATTTCCGAAGTAATATTTAGCATATTTGTAAGCCAGGCTTAAAATAAACTATGTCAGCTATGCAAATAAAAAATATACAATCATACTCTGCAACCAATACAATTTTCCAGAGTATATAATGCATAATCATAATATCATTTTGAAAGCAATGTTGTACATATTTTCAAAACTTATTTAAGTTTTTAATCTTAAACAATTGGAGTCTGAAAAAGAAAACAATTTGTTTTCATTGAATGTGGTTGAACAATGAACATTTTTTATATTGTATACATAACAACATGAGCTTGTTAAATGAAACTTATGACAGTAGTTTTATTATCAAATGTGATATATTAAAATGATTAATATATAACACATTTTTTCAAATATTTTAATCATAATATCTTCTATATCTTGTTTGCCAACTAGATATATAGATGTATATATTTGTAAATATGTTATGGTATGCAAATTACAATCTTGTTTATTTTATACATTTCTGCAATGTTGTATTTATTATTAGTTATTTTAAACATGAAAACATACCATAAACACGTCTTATCAATATAAATGATTCATTATTAATTACTATTGATTTTTGCTTTGCAGAAACTTGGAATTATTAAACCATTATCAATAGCAAAACAACAACCGTGCCTGTTACAATCCGAAAATTCTCAGGGATGGATTTTACATAAGTGTTTGAATTGCAATATGCACACTCATGCTATTCAAAAAGATTCAAATAGAACCATTGTCGTCAATTTAGGATTATTGGTATTATATGATTTACATATTAGTTTGTTGTTTCATTTATTAATTAAAAATTTGTTACAGAGCGACACAGCTGAAATAAATTCACTTCGAAAAAGTGAAAAATTCTCACCTATTTTTAAAGTTGTGATTAATCATTCTAATGTTAGTGATGAAATACATGTTCCTACTATTAAATCAACAGGTAAATATAAGAAGACACTTTAATACAAAAGAATACTTTTTTATGAATGAAGTTTTAGTTTGGTTAGAATTTGTAAACAAATTTGTAAATAATTACTTTTTTGTGATCATTTAACATTTTAGTTTGTGTAGTCTAGTATCATCTCCTTTATCATAAATAAGAGAAGACTTGACTATGATTTGATAATTCTTTTGTGACTAAACCTATTAATTTCTATTACCTGATTTAATTATAGTTTCACAATCTTCTGATCCGTTACAAACGGCTTTATCAAATCTACAACAGCAGCTTACAAGAACAATGCAGCAGGAAATGCAGGCAACTGAACAAAGAATTCGGAACTATCAAGAAGAACAATACTTGCAGCTAGAAGAGTTCCGTGAGAAAGCCCACAATGACTATAATGCTTTAGCAGGGTAAATATAATATTTTTTTGAATATTGTGAAAGTATTTCTTTTTGAGAAAATGTTACAATAATAATATAAGTAATATCATTCTTTTAAAATTTGGAATTGAGATCAGATTTAGTAGCTGGAAGCTATTCTTCTTAAGATTCTTCAACACTTAATGAATTTCTGTTAAATATTAAAGGAAAGCTAGAGAAAAATATATCATGATTTAATATCACTCCCTTTATTTTTAGGACAATAATGCTGCCCACAGTCAGTCTACAATGGCCATAGTCAACATGTCTAGTCAACAAATTGGTAAAGATAAACCAAAAATAGAACTTACTGCAGCAATCTCACCACCGTTAGCAACAAATTCTAGTAGCACTAATAGCAGCATTGGAATATCACCAGTTAGATCTTCTGAAATGTTATCATCTGATTTGGATATCCAGAGCAGAACATCAGGAGAAACTAGATCTGTGAGTCTATTTCATGTATTTAAATATTTTTATCATTGTCCATTTTATAGGTTTTTGAGCATAAATTTATTTTCTGCAAGTCAATTAGTATTATATAGTGGACTATTGTTAGAGATTAAAAAAAGAATTTATATTTTTAGGGCATTCAATAAAATGATTTTTTCAATAAATATTATTAAAAAGTTTCAATGTTTTATCATTTTCGAATTCATATAAGCAAACAATCATTTCTCAAGTTTCCATTTTGTGAATGTTATGAATGTAAAATTGACCAAATGCATAAAGAAAACTGCGTTCCTAAAAATCTGCACTTACATAGGGGTGGTTTAACATTAATATATAAATAATTGGTTGAAAAAGAACTAACACTTTTTTTACTTTGCTAAAACAAATTTCAACAACATAATTTTTCTTCTATTGACATTTTTTCTATTCATAGCCACATTCTTCAAGCAGGCCATTTAAATCCACCAAGTCTAATGTAGATTGTGAAGGATTATTCGACTTAGAAGGAATGGATGATGAGCATGATCAAGAAGATGCTGCAGGAAATGATTCAGGTATTTGGACTGGATATTAATTAAATTTATGTAATCATCATATTTCCTTCAGCTTTATGTATTTTTTATTTCTGTGTAATATATTATGTTTGTTGTTAAACCTATAGGTCTATTGGAATAAATATATTATGGAGATCAGATTGTTACTGCATGCTGCTGAAAGGTTCTAAATTTATAAATCTATTAAATGATCTATGATATTGATTTCAGATTCTTCTAATGAATCTGATGGTGGATTACATATGAATAGTGCTAGACAGGCATCAAAATCAGATCCAAATGAAGGTGTCATTGCTAGAAGTCTTCCCATAAGTGTACCTACTTATATATCTATGCATAAAGGTGGTCTAATGGACAGTGATAGTGATTCCATGGTAACAATTACTTTAATTATTATTTTCTTAAATATGAATTTTACAAAAAAAAAGAGAAAATGGCTAGCTATCTTTTTTATTTATAATTGCCAGAATGTGTGTGAATTAACATTAACTTTTATTTTTCCTTTTTTACCCAATGGTAACATAGCATTAGTTTAAAAAGTGTATACCAATTTTTTTTTCCAGACAACTGATAGTGGAATGGATATTGCAGCTAGTATTAAAGCAATTGCAAAAAGTGTTCATGGTGATGCAGTTTTTGGCGAACTACCAAGACCACGTTTCCGAACACAAATTTAGGCTTAAATATAAACATATTTTATATCTGATCACAAAATATATTTTTAATTAACTTTTGCTGAGAAATATAGCTACTATATATTTGCTTCAGATCCTCACAAGTTTTCAATACATAATATATTTAAGAAAACTTTGATATGAATCAGTGATTTAAATACCTATTAAATGTGTGCGTGTTTTGAAATAAAAACATTTTATTATATTAATGATTTTGCATAAAATTCTTTTATTCATAACTTAAAAAGTATAAAACAATAAATCTCACTAACTACTTAAATTAATTATTTACATTTTGAACAGATTCTATTGTTTGACCGTAATCTAAAACTTCCACAATGTGTTCTTTTTTATCTGTGTGCAATTTATGATCTTTATTAATTGGATATTTTCGAAGGTAAAAGCATTTTGTGCACCTGTGATACATCATTTTGTCTTTTTTGCTTACAGAAACTTTACAAGTTTGTCCTATTATTAAAGGTAATCGGCATCGGCGGCAAAGAGTTCTCTTTACATGAGGATCTCTGAAATGTAATGTAAATTGAAAAATGAAAATTGGTATCAGTAGTACAAATTGCAAAAGTGGATTAATTAATACATCAAGTTTGATAGTTACTTCAGTAAAGCATACAAATAGTAAAGTAATGAGTATTACTTTATTATTTTTACTGACTTTACTTGAATTATATTGAATGATTTAGAATATTAATTGTAAATTTTTGTAAAAACAATCTGCAATTATTCGTTAATTATCATTGTATGCAAAATAGATTTTTAGGGTTAAGTTCTATAAGTGTGCAATACGGTTGAAATTGATATTAATTTCTAATGAAACATTACTTACATTCTAAGAACACCTCTTTTAGCAATGTTCATCATTAAATTTCCATAATAAGCTGATGCAACTGGACTAAAATTCAAAGCTCTTTGACTAATCTATAAGGGATATTATTTAGTTATTTAGTGATTTTGTGAATATTGCAATTAATGTCATAGGGAATTAAATCATATACCTGGTGCAAGTAATTCATACGTTCGAAACTCTCCTTTCCAGCACAAGATTTTATTTTATTTGAAGCTTGTTTACTCATTTTTCCTATGATACTGGTTTTTGAAATCTAATTTTCGAATTGTCAAAATTGAATTCTTTGAAAGAGTGTCTGATCACAGTAATTTTTGACACTTTATTGAAAATGCGCTGTGAAGTTTGCTACACTAACATCAGGAGTGTTTCACTTTTGCGTTCGTTTAATTTCGCATATGTTCGTTAAGTGCAATAATAAAATAAACCTGAACACGTGAAAATATGATAAAGACTGATGTTGTTGAAGCATTCGTTTGCACTCATTTTCTTAAACTAATTAATATTGATTAAAGATTTTACTACAACATATAAAATGATCTGATGCTGAAGTTTATAATTAGAAGAGATTACCTAACTAATTAGAAGTGATTAGTATATATACCCACTATTAAATTAATTTGTAATTAAATTTCAATCAAATATATTTTGAGCGGGACAACCAAGTTCATTATGCTAAAATATGGCAACTTATTTTTTTTTTCATTACCATGGTTACGAACACATAAAAGGAATGGAACACATGTCAGATGGAACAAGCTATTCTGTTTTGTTTACATTTATTTGACGTTTCAAAATTCAACGGTATGACAAGAAACCACAAACTTAAATAATTTTATTACTACAAACGAATTTGGTTACTTCCAAAAATTAACTGCTTTCCTTCACAATCAAATATGGAATAATTTTATAAACAAGAAAAATATAAAAAAATAAGAAATGGATCATCACGCAACGTTAAATGAAATTGATAGTCTTTCAATGGGTGAACTGCAAAGGCAATTGGTGACTTGGGTGGAAGAAAAAGGATTATTAAATGAACTGAGAGCTTATCTGAGGAAAAAAATGATATTTTTACTGAAAGATACGATATTAGGTAAAGAACAATAACAATCATTTAAATATGCTTTCACAAATATTGTTTCTTTCCTGACAGAACCATATTAAAAATAAAATTTGCAAATCTGACATATTTTTTTGTTCTTTTTATTATTATTATTGTGTTTTATATTTTATTTTTTTTATTTAACTCTTAAAATATTCTTATTCGTGATTACAAAACTTTTATTATTTTCTCCCACCATGCCTAATCTTTACGATCCAAGATCGATTTTAGTTTAATTCTGAATAGTTCAAATACTTACATATGACTATAATAATATAGGATGTTATATAGTTAATTTATACTTTAGTTTATATGGCAATTATCTTTGATACTGACTAAATTAATATATGACCATCTTTGAAACACAAACACATATTGCAATTCAAATTAATCGTTTCATGCTTCTGCTACTATATCTAATTGCAGTATTTTAAAAAAGCTTAAAAAAATTTTGAATTTGATCAATCTCAGTTAGATAGTTTCCATAAATAGTCTAGTCATTTTTTAAAAAAGCAATAATTAGCTTTTGATCGTGACAATAATACAATTATTTTATGTTTCCAGATCAGAAGACCTCAATAGTTGATCAAATATGTGTAACGCCTAAACTCCAAGCATTAGCATTGCTAGTTGCTGAATATCTGTTATCGCAAAAATTGTTTTATTCTTTGTCAGTCTTTAGTACCGAAGTTCCAACTATTACACATGTAAATAAATTTGCCAACAAATTCAGAATGCAAATGACATTAATGAGAACTCTCCAAAGCTCGATTCAAATGAAATAACACGTATATTGGAAGCAGTTGGTAAATAATTACTACAATATTTGAAAATCTATTTATATAATATCGGTAGTATTCATTTTTTAGTCTGCAGCTGAATAATTTAAGCTTTTATATAATGTTATTTGTCAGATAACTCTATTTAAATAGTCTTAATTATGAAGATCATTTAATGCTTATAAGTAATAACAAATGAAGAATGTACATACTGTTTATCACTTAACCCGTCTTAGTTAAATTTCATTTCCAAATTTCAGGTATTTCTGGACATAGTGAACTTGTTAATAATATAATGCTATCATATACAAATGCTACTGACAGAAAAGAATCACTCATAGGAAGCATTTTGGAAAATATTTCTACGGCAGTTGATAAATTATCTGAAAAAAAATGTTGAAAAATTGACTCAAGGCACAAATACTGATGAATTTTTAGAAGGAAAAAGAACTATTAACTCTATAGCAGACCTAAACTTGTTATTCGAGGATTATCATTTGAAACAGGTGCAGTTTTAAGTTTATGCTTTGCTTTCAAAGATCTGTTCATATTCAGATTTATTTAAAGGCCTTTTATATAACTGAAATTGTGCTGAAGCTCTTATATTTATTTTAACTTAATTAACTATTTAAAATTATCTTTTAGCATCAATCTGCCGTCTTTATGTTTATTGATAAAGAACATGCTAGAATAAAATCTGAGGAAAAAGCAAAGTATAAAAGTAAATTATACAAACAACAAAAAAACACTATTTCAAGAAGTGAAAACCAGAGAAGAATATGTAGGTTCAAGTATAACTTTATCTTAAATACTAAAATTCACATAACTAATATCATATTTATAGGTGCTTAGAAAATTAAATGAAGCTGAAGTTCGGTTAGTAACACAAAAACAGCAAATCGAAGCTAATTTAAAACGCAAACAAAATCATTTACAGGAATTAGCTGATGAATTAGGACATATTCACAACCAACTTTCAAGACGTGAGGAGATTCTTAGTGTAAGAGAATTTTTATAGTGTCATTTGTATAATATAATTATTCGATGATTCATTGTATTTTGTATTACCAGTCTTTAAAACAAGAAGCTATATCAGCACTAAAGGAAAAGCCAAGCATGAATATTTGTGATCAATGTAAAAGTTGTGACCATTTGAAAAAGCAAGAAGTAACAAAATCAACTGGTCAAAATATAAGGTAATAATTTTATTATTATACACATTATGCAATAATAATTTTAGGAACTCATATTTGAATTAATATATTACAACTTTTAATAATAAAATATATAATCTGCGACCTACATTTAAAGAACTTCATAGTTATAAAATACAATATGCATTTATGAAAAGCTTTAATTTATCAATAAATAAATGTGAGTAAACCCAATAAAATAAAAATTCATATTAGTTTCGATATCAGATTTGTCCCATCATCCAGTAAACCAGGAGAAAAAATTAAGAGTAAAAACAAACTAATGCAATTAATTATTTAAAAAAAAACTTGTAGGAACAGCAAATAAGTACATTGAAACAACCATTGTAAATCTATTAAACTACTTAAAATTTGTAGAAAATTCTAAAAATTTTAAATGATTTTAAGTATTATTATAGTTTTACAACGGTTGTTTCAATGAACTTATTTGTTGTTCCTACAATTAGGATTACAGTTTTTTTAAGTAGTTAATCATACTAGTTTGTTTTCATTCTTAGTCTTTTCACCTAGTTTCCTAAATAAGGAGATACATCTGGTCTCGAAACATATAAACTGAAATAAATTTTCAATTTATTTTGATGAATTAACTGTTTTTACCTTATATCAATGAATCAATATATATCAATTTATATATATATATATATATATATATATATATATATATATATATATACAGTAAAATCCGATTAGTATGACGCTTAATATTGACAACCGCTTAATATGACGTAGTCGCACTAGGAATTTGGTTTCCATATAAAATTTCTTAAAAAAAACAGCTGTCTAGTCGGATATATTGACATCGCTTACATTGACATGTCGTTTATAATGACCCATTTTTGCAAAAAAATATGTCCAATTATAATGACCAACATGATTTTACATGATGTGGCCAAGTCTACGAAAGCAATTGCTATGTCTTTTGTGCACAATAGCACCAGGGACTGTTTTTACAATAAAATTATGTAAAGAAATCAATCAAAAATTACTGATTACTTACATTAAAAAAACACATTTGTATGTTTATGGGTAGGGTAGACTAATTATTAATGGCCCACCACGGATATCTTATAAACAAATAAAATTAGATTCTTTTAACAATTATATTTGATAGTAAAGGGCGAAATTGTATAAATTCATAACCAGCCATCACCTTTATTCTTATGACTTTGCTATCAGAAGATAAGCAGCACAT